TATTTTATATATAATTATAATATATTTAATCTATATCTTAGTAAAGTTGAATTTAGATAATTGTCTAGGTTTTTTTTTTATTAATTAAATTATACCAAGCAATAATACAATTCTTTTCATGATGCATCCAATTACATCAATAAATTTACTTTACCAAATTGTTTCTTTAGTATATTCTTATTAAAATATCCTTCTTTACTTGTTACAATTTATCTTTAATCGCACAAGTTCACACCTACCATTTATAGTATATGAGATCTTATATAAAACTATATTTTGAGAATTGAATAGTACTGGGTAATCTATTGGTAGACAAGAAATATTTTATGCTATTGGATATGAGATACTATGATACCAATTATATTTAAAACCAGAAGCAAAGCGACGAGTTATTACTAGTTACGAATCAAAAAAATTATTATATATATAGTATATAGCACAAGTAATGTTAGGGTGATCATCAAACTAATAAAATCAAACCATAAGTAGTGTAATATGTATTAATTACTATTTGGAAATTTTTTATAAAAATCTAAATTTACTGTGGATAATAGTAACTTTCAGTACATTTTTATCTTGAACTAACATAATAATTGCTAATCAAATTTTTGGAAAAGATATATTAACCTGCTTAGAATAATGTAATAGAGGCATTTTTTCAATTTATTTCATATACAAGTAGTTAGTTCTTCAACAAAATAAATGAACTTTACCTAAAATTAACAATAATGAATCAATTAAAATTTGTAAAACAGAGGCTATTATCAGAAAGAGAAAAATAAATGCTACAAGTTAAAAAAAATATAATATAAAAATTTTATATTCTTAGCTAGAAAAGTATATCTTCATAAAATATATTAAAAAAACCATTACTATTACCAAGTTATATCTTTGATTAAAACAATACCACGAGCTAAAACAGTTTTCAAACAACAACAATATTTGAAATGTACATGTAATCAGCAATAATTTTTAAATAAAAAAGCTAAAAATATTGCTGAAAATGGTTATGGAAATACAAATGACGATAGTCATAATGATATCATTTATCCAACTTAGTAAATATACAGTATGGGACAAAAAAAACTGGAATCAAAAATTGTACGATTACGGGAGAATAATCACATAAAATTATATAAAATTTATATAATTGGTAGACAAATATTAGATGATTTATTAATTAAAAAATTAAAATGATATTCGTTCACCATTATTTTCAATTACTAATTCACATCATCGCCTCATTGATCCTACTAAACTAACTAAAACTGAATTTGGAATTTTATTTCATTCCTCTTTCATATACCACTCTAATTCTTGCAAATTATATAGCATACGTTTTTCCACATTATTTTTTACAATGCACTACAAATTTTCAATAGGGTTTAAATCAGGACTGTTCGATGGCCAGTTCATAAGTTCAGAAACATTTTCTAAAAGAAATGCTTTAGCAAATTTGCTTGTGTGTTTTGTGTCATTATCTTGTTGCCAACGCCAATGTTTACCAAACATATTTTTTACTTCAGGAAGGTGCTTGTGCACAATTTCAACATAAAATTTTTTGTCCATAATTTGTGTAAAGCAAAATAAGCTTGATTTTCCCTTTACTGAAAAACCACCCCACACTTTAATTTTAGTATGGTCTTTAGGAATTGGACAAATTGGCCGTTGACCTTTCTTATGCCAACGCTTGAGCGTATTTTGAAAGAGTTGAAAGGCTGATTCATCTGTAAAAAAAGTTCTGTTCCAATTGTCATTAAGGTGAGCCTGGGCCCATTCTACTCTCTTTTTGGTTATTAGTCAGCATGGGGGTCTTTCGTAGAATATTTTCACATATCCTATTATAGCCAAATGTCTTTCAATTGTTCTATATGAAACGTCATTACCTATACTTGATAGATATGCTGCTAAAGTTCTTGTTGAAAAAGACGAATCCTTTTTAATTTACTTCTCAATTGCCCGGGAGGCAACATTACTAATTTTTTTGGGCCGACCATTCCCTCTAGCATGGTCAACATTTCCATACACTTTTAATCTTTTTATATTGTCGTAAATAGTAGACTGGGGGATACTGGTTCAAGCATAAAGCTCTTTTGCACTATGTACACCTTTGTTCCACAGGTATACTAAAGTTTCTCACTGGCTTCTTTTTTTAGATACCGTTATACGGCTATTATTTGGGTGTACAAAATTACAATGTACTTGCGAATTACAAATCGCTAAAAGTAAGTATTCAACATTGCTTCTGATTT